TCCATGTGTTCTCATTGTTCAACACCTGCCTATGAGTGAGAACATGCGGGCTTTACTTTCAAATGACTCTGAGAAATGCTCTTTATAAAGTAAGGAAAAGGAACAATTTGGCCAAAACCATATGATTCACTTTATTTTGTGTTTATTTTTTAATAAATTCCTTCCTCCATCAACTTCTATAATCCAAAAATACTAATAAAACAGTGAAAATCTGAGAAAGAGCTGGTATTCCTCCACTCATTACACAAAATCAGCTTTTTCATTTTTCTTCAAGACTAAAATATCAAGTTTATATTAATATCTTTCCTTCTAAGTTATCTTAAACACTCATTTTTAAATTCCTCCAGAATTTATATAAAAGCATTCTATTTATATCTTTCTATTGTATTAAGCCATCTATGTTATCAAGCCTATCTCATAATTGGGTTCCTTACCTTCTGATTACTTTAACCCATCTCTAATTAGACTAAATTTACCAACTGACTACATTCCACTTTTTTTCATTTCACCATGATCTTTCAAATTCTTTTTTCCTCTTATCTTGCTTCTGCAGTTTTCAGTTTTTCTAAAACATCCTTTTTTTTTTATTCATTGAATTAAGGGAAGACCATCAGCCACAAGATAATCCCATGCCTTCTTCAACAACTTAAAGAAAAATCTAAACTCATTCCTTCTTCTCAGCTCCATACAACAGATTTCCTGAGATCTTAAGATACTTTGCCACTTGTTATTTTCCGGCAAATTTGCAGTAGCTAAATGCTGAAACTCCCTGTTTTGTTTTCTTGCTTATATTGCTGCTTATTATAAATATCTAGAAATTTGTCTTAATTTGCATATTCTATAAGGCAATATGAATCCAATAAGGTCACAACCCACTTTTTTTTATCATACTATTTTCTCATGGATGTGCATGTTTGATACATACTGAAAGGCATTTAGATTTCAAACCTCCCCTGATGGGATTTGGTACCACTTTCTACCAATTTAACAATTTAATCATTTAATGAATGTGTTAGCTTTTAGATTGCTGTTACAAACTTGGTGGAAATCACAAGTATTTTAGGTAGATATTTCCTATGTACCTAACTAAAAATTCACATTTAATCCAGAGCACAAATAATACCTGAAAGGCAAAAATGAGGCAAGAGCTTAAGGGGACCAGGCTTTTTTTTTCTCAAAGAGACTAGGGAGTAGATAACAAAGTCTTCCCTTAACCAAAGATTGTTTAGAGTGAAACTCTAATTTGAAGAAAATGCTACATAGAATGATGTGTCAATGTCTGGTTTATTCCTACAACCCAGTTCACAGAGTGGCATACTAGTGGGGAAATTACAGGCTGCATCAGAGACAATTGTGAACTTAGAAATGGGTCTGTAGGTGTGGCTGCATGGTCAAATGATAGCTCATGTATGGACACCACTGGCAGGTGTACAAGTTAAGATCTATGCAGGAGTCTAAGTAGGAACAACATTCTCCAGAGACTATTGGGAGAAGGTATGTCTTGGATTGAATTGCATTTGGGCACTGAAGGACACCTGTATCTGAGAGGAAGGGATTAGAGCACCAAATGCAGCCTTTACCTAAAGCTTAAGTTGTTAGGATAAGGTCAAACATCTAAGAGAGACCCAAAACTGATGAGACATTAACCTCCATCCCAGCCTTATCATCAAAGATATGTGTTTGCTCCCGTCATTTTAAGCTAATTTAACTGGAATTGATCATTGCTTCACCACAACTACCACATAACATTAAAAAGCCATTAACTAACTTTACAGAAGTTTCCCCAGTTCTCTTGAGAGAGTCACAAATATCTGTGAACTGATACTGATTTTAGAAGTGATCATTTGTGACAGAACACATACATCACAGCTAAGGGAATAGATCATGGAATCATACAGATGTGAGTTGATTCCTGGCTTTACTAGAAATTAGCTGTGTGACCCTGAACAATTAACACAATCCCTCTGAACCTTGGCTCCCTTATGTACATAATGTCAATGACAATCATATTACCTATGCCATAGAATGACTGTGAGGATTTAGTGAGACAACAGTGCATGGTGAGAAATTACCAAGGTTAGCTGTTAGTGGTGAAAGAGTGATGGCTTCAAAATGGTAAAGAAAAGTGAATACATTTGAAAGACCAAAACAGCAAAAGTATGATGATAAGGGTCACAAGGAGTTACACACAAACTGGCCTGATTATATATCTGTGTAGTGCAATAAGACAATCAGTTCACTGAAAAATACAGGTCATGAGTATGGCATAGATCCACTGAAATCAGGATAATGATCAGTGAATTACCATCCAATCAGAGGTGGGCATGTTTGCCTTACCTGATCAAATGGATCAGTTTCAGTAAAAATATTGATTTGAGGTAGTTACACCACCACTTCCATTATGCATTTCCTCAAGAATATTTCCCTGAGTTGTTGACTTCATTGATTTCATGCCTTGTTACTGACCTTTGATACAAAACCAGGGAATCTTAGGAGTTCCTGGGTTCTAATCTCAGATCTTCTACCATGAATCTTTCTGAAAATTCTCTGTGCTTATGTGTGTGTGTGTGTGTGTGTGTGTGTGTGTGTGTGTGTATGTGTGTGTGTGAGAGAGAGAGAGAGAGAGAGTGCGTATGTGTTTGGGATGGTAGATGATAACTGCTCAGGGTCATATAAAGCTGATTGACTGACATTCTAGAAATGAAATAACCATTTCTAGAACACTGTCATCTTGACCATGAAAGAATGAGACCATAAGCAAAACAGTCATTCCAGGCAATATCTTAAACCAATTGTTCTTAGAGAGTTTAAGAGTAGTTGGTCCAATAGAGTTGGCCAAATTATCTTTTACAATATACCTTCATGACATATGTATGGCAATATATGGTTATATGGTTGTAAAATACATACACAGATTCCCTAATTTATCTAAAGTTTTGGATTATAATTTAAAATTTTGGATTTGTCTTTGCATCATCAAATATAATTCTTAAGCCAGGAATGAAAAAATAAGTTTCCCCAAAAGAACTGAAATCAGAAAAATGTGCCAAATTCAGTGTCTAATTTATCATGGATACTTTTCTGAAAAGCTAATGTTTGGTGATGTCTAAACATTCTCAACTCAGGCATCTAGATTTCTGCCATTACAGCCTTTATTTTCCAAAAAAGTACAAAGGAATCATACACCGAGGCCCATCTTGAATTATGTGGCTTTATATGCTATAATTATAAACATGTAGATTAAACCACTCATGACAAATAGAAGAATCGTCACGAAGTTGAAATCAGAATAACATAAATCTAACAAAAAATTTCAAAAGGACAAATTGATATTTTGGAGAAAAATGAAACAATTTTGAAACATGCAAATCAAGGGAATTACTTGTGAGGCAAAACCCTTAAACCAAATTAATAATAATAAAAATCACATTAAACAGCTAAGAGCATTGTTCATACATTTCTGTCACCTTTCCCCAAGGTTAATAGGAAAGAGCTTGTGTGTATATTTTCCATTTTGTGGCTTACCACATTCAGAAAGGAAGCAATCTTCCCCCCTCCCCCCGGCAGTTCTGAGTTGAATAAAAGGAAACAAAGGAGGAAACATCTTTCTTATTAAGCGACCGTGTTCTCTGTACTGGTTTCCAATGAAGGGGGAAAAAAAGAAAAGGTAAGAGGCTAGGTCCATTCACATAACATTGGGACTGAACTTCAAAGTCAGCTCAACGAAACAAGTTAAAACTAGACATCTAAAACTTGACATCCTAAAATTTTTATATTTATTTTAAAATCCCCCCAAATTACTGTGTGATTGAATGACTGCTTTTCTAAGTTTTGAGAGGAACAGTGCCCTCCTAAAATGCATTACTTAGACAATTCAATGACTAAAATGAAACAAAAATTCACTTATCCTGCACTTTAAAAAATCACTTTACTTTATAACTGAACAATGGAATAGGATAACATTTTAAAAACTACTTCCCTATGCATGCAGAGAGGATGCCACATTTTATGAAGTTTCCTCCCATCTAGAGATAACAGCAACACCAGCTCTTACAGAAAATAAGAGCTAAGAACTATATTAACATCATACAAGAAATTATACTATGTTCAAAAGATGTACACAATAAACTCTCTAATACACTTGTATTTGTAGTATATAATAGAAGAATTTTCAACTGCCATTGTAATATGGGGAAATAAATAGCATTAGGATTTCTAAGTAGTCCTGAGTCTCTCTTTCTCTTTTGTTGCCCGAAAATGTAGCAATGAAAGTCAACAAATTGTATCCCTCTTCTTTGCCCTCAAACAGTATTTAATCATTAAAAAAGAAGATTATTGTTAAAAACTATTTTTTTGGTTCAGTCCCTGCCATTCTCCTGCTGCCCAAACTTAGACAAATAACTTTCTTTATTACTCAATCCAAGTAACATCAATTGAGTCTTCACAAATCCTGCATCTGGACAATACTTTGCCTCAGTGCCCTCTCAACTGACTGTCACAGATATAAAGAAGGGTGTGGGATGGCAATCTTTATAGAAACCATGAGAGTTGTGATCCTGAGCTAGAGTCACCTACAAAACTAGAGTCACCTACAGTGGTGGCTGGGTAATCCCAAAAGAGCCTGAGAGAAGGGAGATGGCACTTGGAGAAAAGTAGTCAAAAAGCAGAAATCTTTCAGAAAAAGAAGGGCTGAGACAAGAGCTGCACATGAAATCTGAGGCCACATCTGTTCCTCCTAATGAGCCTGGTGACCAGGTAGAGAAATATGGCTCCATCACTGTGGGGCACTGAACAGTAAGATCTCAAAATGTAAAACATCATAAAAAGTAAATTTCTTTCCTTGAGATATATATCTTACTAATAATGTGACTGTATAGATGGAACTGTAAGCAAATCATTTTTCCAAGTTTCTAACAGGTGGTGTATTAGTCCATTCTCATGCTGCTATGAAGAAATACCTGACACTGAGTAATTTATAAAGGAAAGAAGTTTCATTGACTCGCACTTCTACAGGGCTGGGGAGGCATCAGAAAACTTAAAATCATGGCAGAAGAGGAAGCAAACACAGCCTTCTTCACATGGTGGCAGGAAGAAGTGCCGAGCAAAGGCAGAAAAGCCTCTTATAAAACCATCAGATGTCATGAGAACTCACTCACTATCACAAGAACAGCATGGAGGTAACTGCCCGCATGATGCAATTACGTCCCACCAGGTCTCTCCCATGACACATTGGGATTATGAGAAGTACAATTCAAGATGAGACTTGGGTGGGGACACAGCCAAGCAAATTGGGTGCTAGATTTTCTGCATTTCAGAAGTACACTTGTTCTGAGGAGCTGGATCTTCAGAACATCACCTGCTTCAAAAAAGCACCTGCTTCACTATCAATGAGCTGGAAAGGGGATGTTCTGTCTTCCCTCCAAGAGGCTATTTTCTTGGTGCTTCAGTCATTGGCTTTCCAGGTCAGCAATGGTCTTGACTTCTCATCCATTTACATTACTCCTCAGGTTTCCTCACACTCTTAATAAAAATGTCGTCTGTCTTCCTGGTATTCAGGTCCACCATGGACTGTATAACAGGCTCCTTAAGGCAAGCAGTGATGCCAAAAGTGATTGAGATCTCAAAACTGAAAATGCTTTGGCCCCAGAAAAGGTGCATTCATTAACTTCTATGCCCTTATCTGTGAAATGGGGCAATCTAAAGCAAAGCATGCTAAACTACAGGTAGATAAAGGCCTTCTTTGATAACATGTAGGTGTACATAGCATATTTGAGAAAGTTAGAAAAAACAGAGAGGTCAGTGGTGTTCTCTACTCTCCAGGCTACCAAAATCTTTTGCACACACTTCAGCATATTATTCCCAGTAGGCCCATCTCTCATGTATCTGCTCAGTCCACCAACTGTCCACCAATCTCCTCTCTACACTGTGCAGAGATTTCTTCAAAATGCATGTGTTATCAGTTACCCACTTCCTTTGACCCTCACACATTTCAGTACTCTCAGTGTTCTAAGTTAATAACTAAAAATTTTTAAGTGGCTACAGGTGCTACAGAACTGGCCCCTGACCATCTCTCATTCTCATCTTGTAACACCTCTTTCTTCTTGGATCTCTCATTCTTCTGCTCCTGTACTTTCCTCCTTGCAGTTTCTTGAATGCAGCTCTCTCCCTTCTGCCTCAAGGCATCAAACCCACTAGCCTGGGCCTGACAAACCCCTTTCCCTCCTTATTCCCTTCTGCTGGTTCTTCAGATTTCAGTTCAAACACCCCACCTTTGAGGAAAGGCATCCTGATTCCTGCCATTATGGCAAATTTTCATATCAATTGGCTCCCATAGTCCCCAGTTAGCACAGTTGGTAAGCATAAATGTCTTGTGTGATGATTGGATTACCATGTCTTTACTGCAATAAGAGGTAAGCTCTATAAGGGAAAGACCATGTATTCTGTTCTGCTCTACTCAGCATTATCTGCTCAGTAGCTAGCATAGTGCCAGGCACACATGGAAGCTCAATGCAATGTGTTGCACAAATGAATTCATGAATTAATAAACAAAGAGTGAATACACTCTAGTCCTCAGCTTCCTCAACTGTAAGTTGAGGATTCAGACTAGACACCATCAAGGGTCCTTCACAGACATGACAAATTAAATAATCATTCTATTTCCATGTTTATATTATCAGGTATAGGCCATGCTTAATATTACATTGAGAACACATTCACTCAACATATATTGAAAACTGGAAATACAAAGATGAAAGATGAAATACAAATATTCTATTCTCTTAGAATAGAGAGTGCTGGTTACTTTGACAGGGATATGCCCATGAAGCTATGAGAAGGCTCAGTATAATATCTAACCTAACTTGAAAAAGAAATAGTGGCAGAGAGGAAGGGAGAGAGAGAAATGTCTAGAAGGCTTTCCAAAAGATTTGATGTAAGGGCTACAAGTTGGGTTAATCAAATAAAGAAGGGAAAGAAAGGCAAATGTTCTGAGAACTGGTAAGTGGGCAAGAAGAAAATTTATTTTCCAAATAGTGCCAGTAGTTTCAGGTAGCTGGATGTAAGTGGTTTATCCAGTATGATGGACCTACAGGTGTTCTTACAAGTTCCAGATGCACAGAGAACTACTGAAATACCATGATCCAGTAACATCATCTTCTTCTGGTGTTAATGTGGTAATCATTTAGGTGTTCTCCCTCTTCAAAAGAAACATTTTACCACCCTGAGACACATGAGGAATTTGTAGATATGACACATGTATCATTAAGACTAGGATACACGTTCAGTGATATGCAGAGATCAGGGCTGGTGGGAGCCACAGCAGCCTATTAGACATGTATCATGGCAGGTAACATTAAACAAAACAGTTTTAGATCATTGTGGTGATTCTACCCCTTCCCCTAACAAAACTTACTGCTACTTTCAGAGTAGTAGTTCCCATTTAATAGATGAACACTGTAGACATAAACAAGTACTTACCAATAACTCCCAAATAATTAATGTTATAACTATGAGAATGTATTCAGTATTTTCAATATTCATGAAGTCTCATATATCTGGTTCAGTTTGCTAGTTTGAGAGTTTATTTCAGTCACCATTCTTGTTTTATGTACCAGGGACATGAGTGGTATGAATGTGCTTATAAGTAGATTGATAGGAGAACCAATAAGGAGATGGGAAGGGCCAGTGATCTCTGGATACCTATGTTTAAGCTCTGCAACCTCTGTCCCTACTTCACCCATATGGCTGGAGCTGTTAGCAGCTATTTGGGTTGCTAACATGTGATTCACAGGAAGAATCAAAGGAGCAACTGTGCAGATATAATGGACAAGTCTACAGCCAGTATGGTTCAGGAGGATGCCGATGCCCATGGAGTATCCCCTATTCCCCACAGTGCCTGCAAATTAAGGTGACAAAGTTGACTTTCGGTGGTCTCTCTGTTTTTGCCTTGCTTCAAGGCCGCATTCAAGTTCTTGTTATTAGAATTGCCATTTCTAGCTAAGACACAGCAATTCTCACATCTTCATAAAGGCTGAATATTTGAACTCGTTCCCTTAAAGCGCATATTCAGCTACTGCACAGACCAAAAAAAAAAAAAAACAAGCAAAATTACTTTAAATGCTGATATTATTTTTAAAGGGCAGATCAATTTCCAAAACCAAATAAAATGGAAAAGTCATTAAAAAGTCATGGGCTAAAGCAGGTGGTTAAATATATCATCTAGTTGCCCAAATCAATTTCAAAACCAATGACTTTTTGTCCCAGAACAAATAGTTTACAAGAAAAAGTACAAATATCAAAAACAAAGGCTGAATGTTAGATATTCTGTCACAACTTAGAATCGGGCTATACGGAATGCCACCAATCTATC